AAATACGCGAAATTGGTAAGTTTAAGACGAACATCAAATCGATAGAGTTTATAGGAATAGTGGCGGCTTATCTAAGCAATCGACTGAAGGATACTATGGTGTTGCTGTGCGATGCGTTGTCCGACGAATATTCAATGGGCATTTTGTTGGACACGTTCGTGACCGTTTATAGATATCTAGCAAGGTTGGACGGCACGTATACCAGTCCGGCGCACAGAGAAGACGAAAACATAGAGAGTTCGGAAAAAGTCTCCGTGCGCAGCAGCAGCGAATGTTTCAAGTCCTCGGATTCCGAAAAGGTCAGCGACGACGTTGACAGCGAGTCCAGCGCCGGCAGCGCGTTCGCGGGGTCGGCGGTCAACTTCGCGGCGACGAGGTCGGACCAAGGCATCATGAAGTACCAGGACGACCAATTGTTCGCGGCGGAATCATCGTTCGCGGACGCGCTGAATCAGCACGTCAAGTCGCCGGTGGGCGCGTGCGAAAAACTAGACCTGATGTTACTGTACGGGGGAACGATGCCGCGCGCGTACGACGACAACGACGACGAACTGTTGTCGTTGCTCAGCGGTTCGAGCGCGATATTCGACAACGAGATGTCGACGATCTCGTTCGGGTCGTCGGACGCGGACGCGCGCGAACCGTTCGCCGAACAGACGGGCCATGGCGAGGAAACGACGGGCGAAGGGTTAGGGTTGTACGAATGTTCGGGTTACGAGGACCCGGAACGCTTGGACGGCGAGCCGATGGCGAGCTATGGCGACGAGTACGGTGACGAGCACGGCATGGGCGCCGGCGACGAGTGCGACGAGACGAACCCGAACGATTACGACGTGGACGCGGAGGCGGCGCTCGACACAGACGTCAGCGATCGCGTGCCCGTGAACACGGATTACATCGTCATGTTCGCGCTGATCGACGGCCCGGATGGTCAGCAGCCGGCGCCGCCGCCGGAGGTGGCCGACGAACCGCCGGGCGACCGAGAGTCTGCGGAACACGAACCGTTGGCGGAACACGAATCGTTGGGCGACCACGAGTCGGCCGAGTCCGCGTTCTCGTTGCTGGAGCGCAGCGGTTTTGCCGTCGGTACCGGCGACGTCGCGGCGGCCGACGTCGGCGACAAGACGCGCGTCGTCCGGACGTTCGACGAGAAGGACCATTACGGGGCGATGGACAGGGAAAGCACGGACACCGAACCGGGCAGCGAGGTCTCGCACGAGTTCCAGTACTCGGAGATCGACCAGCAGAGCGTCGCGTCCACGCCGCCGCCGGACGTGCGGTCGGACGACGACGACGACGACGACGGCGGCGGCGGCGGCGGCGACGTTGCCGGTGCCGACGCGGACGGGTCGAACGTGTCCAATGCGTCCGAAGCGCGTTCGGTGCACGAAGATTACGAGCTGTTCGAAACGGACGACGACCGATACGAGACCGAGCACGGCGACGGCGAGACGCATTCGTACGGCCGGAGCACGTCGTCGGCGGACCGCGTCGAGGCCGACAAGACGCGCGAACAGAAAGGGGTGCACGTGGTAAAGGTACTGCCCGGTATAGGACCGCCTCTGCCGGAACAGCAGATCCAACGGGTCATAGACTATGTGACCGAACGCGCGCGAAATCAGAACAACCACGTGCACGTTCGCAATCTGATAAATTTCATGTGTCCTCCGATGGACCATCACGATCACGACTAAGATCGTTCAATAATCCATTACGGTTGCGACCAGTACAACAACGCCCCCTTCCTCCCCCGATACATTGATTTGGTTATAGCTAATGACAGTCATATGTAACTAATAATATATTATATATAATTTATTTTTTAATTTTTTTGTTTTTTTATTTTTTATTTTTTTTTTGACGTGTCTAAAATCTTATAGTTTTTCTACCCATAACTGTGTTTCATCTTGTAGACAGAGGCTGCCCGATTTACGAACTCTCCCTTTTAAACGAGCAGATAGTTCTTTCGAGACATTTATCCATTCAAGTCAGTGGCGTATTTGATGGGCGATCATAATAATATTGTAACATTTTGTTCAGTATTTACAATCCCATGCTCTTGCAACATTTCTTCTTCTTGGTTTGGGTGCTTTTGTTTGTTTTCATTTTGTTCTTTATCATGTATAATTTTTATTTCTCTTAACACACCCAAGTATTCTACACTTTTATCAGTTTGTTGTTGTTCTTTATCGGAGCATACCACTTAAGAGTTTTCAAAATCTATTTTATTTAAGTTATTTATGTTAGTGTCTGTACTGTTTTTTATTTCACTATTAGAATATTGTTCAAAATTATTTGAAAACCCAAACTTTTTTAATGAACCTTTTTCTTTTTTTATTAAGTCATTTTGTTTTTGTTTTTTAATCCCTTTAGGTGACCCGATAGAAAACATTTAAACTTATCACGAATTTGGCTACTCATTTTCACTTCAATAGAAAATATCAATACATATCATGGGAATAAATATAAAAGTTAAAAATACATGAAATACTTAAAAGTAGGTATTGGTCATATTGCTTTTGTCAGTAATGTCCACGAATCACCTTTTGATTAGATAAATGGTGGTATTTTTAGTTTGCATATTTTGAACAAAATGTATATCATAAATAAAATGAATATTAAAAAATATTATAAAACGCAAAAAATGCAAGTTCCTAATAATATAGTAAACAACGGTCACAATCATCAACTGATAACTGATTATTAACATCACAAGCCTTATTGTTAAAATAGCAGTACAGTATACCAGCAGTGTCCCCAATAAAAATCGGGTCATCCCGATTATGGCCACGAAGCTGCGAACGCGGCCGGGACCCCCGCCCGGCTTGTAATAAGGGGCCTTCATTGGCCCATTCCCATTAATTTAATAAATATCGTAATTATAATTAATATTAGTACACTGTATAAGGATAATACATTTTGCCATTTATTTTTTTATAATACATTTTATATCATATCTAGGTATATTAAATGTTAAATTGATAGATAATAAATTAATGTTTTATTTATTCTTATAAGGAATGTATTAGGGAAAAAACGTGTATTGTAATAGGAAAATATAATTTTAGATTTTGAGTAAAACGAGAAAGCTATTGGTTTTAACATGATGTATTTTTTTATTATTTTTTTTTGTCTGTGTTTAAATTTTCTAATAGAAAATCTGGTCCTATCAAAAACTTTTCGGGAGGTTTTCGATCCCAAATTGTATCTAATTAGTGCACTCGGGAAGTTATTTAATTTCTCAACGGTTTTTCCAATAAATGCGGAAAAACTACGAAAAAACAGCAACATTTATGACACACTAGTTTTCCACAAAATCATTTTTTTATTTTCAATGTAACTCAAAAAATATTGATTTCAGAGAATATACATTTTCTCCGAATACTTATATAACTGTTATTTACTGATGATATACACTTTAAAATGGTTTTTACTTTTTTTGTGTTAGATATTTTAAATCTTAGAGTTTATCAGTTTTTTTGTAAAATATCGATGAAATAATTTTGGTGGGACAAAAAATCTTGAAAATGTAATACAAAGTTCTTTATAAGTTAATCAATGCGAAAATTTCGGAAATACATAGGTACAATTTTTTTTTATAAACATTTAAATTATCGAATTTTGATGAAATTCTATAAAAACAAGAAAAATTGCTAATTTTTTGTTGCTAATCAATTAGGTACACCTCTTTTACTCAGAATCGTTTTTTTTTACGAAAGCAATGATACATTACTTTCAGATTTACAAGACTAATTCACCAATACCAATCACCCATCAAGGATCATCTTTACACCTTACTTTTTATGAGTATCGAACTAGAAAATATGTATGAAACTTGATAATGGGGAAATAATTGAAAAATTCAGAGTATGAATTATAAGGAATTGCTGATTAACCAATTAATATATATTTGTTATTTACACAGTGTCTATGTTAAATTTTTTTTATTTAATGTAGTTATTTGATATAAAATGTTCAATAAAATATTAAAATATTTAATTGTTTTAATTGTTCAACTGTAGAATTACTACAAAATAATTATTGCGTAAACTGAGTTGGTTTATGAGCAATTTATTTATGTGATTAACATCTAAATAAATTTGAAAATCTTGTTTTCTATTGTAAAATACTTGGGATCTTAAATTAACACATATATTAAAATTAATTATTAATTAAACAGTTTCACTTTTAATTTACAAAAAAAAAAAAAAATGTAATAAATTTAAACACATCGGTAATAAATATTTACAAAATTGTTTTTTTTTACTAAATATTAAATGAAACAAACAAATTTTAAATAATACAAGTTGTTCTATAGCTCAAAAAATTAGATAAAAGCTCCAATGTTACTCAAATTGATGCAATCTCAAGAATCTCAAGTGTATAATAATAATGATATAAAAGGTAATATTATTCCGTACATAATGGAATTAATGTAAAGTATATTTTACATAAAATTAAAATATATACTTAAAAAGTTCTAAATTAAAAAATTATAAATAGATACATATTTATATACTAGTTATAACAGACAATAATAATTCAATAATATTAAATAACTAGGTAGGATTAAACAGAAACTATTTTAATAGCTTTATAAATTAATCAATCAATTTTAATAAATAAGTAACTTCTTGCTATAATTTATATAAAAATATTAAAAAATAATATCAATTATTACCTCAGTAATTTTTTTTAAAAAAATAAGATTATTTTAAATTTTTTTTTTTTATTAAAAACTTTTTGTTAAAAATAGTTTTGATTATAAACTTAATTTGACCAATTATAGGGATTGGAGTTGTTTGATCATTGTTTGCTATTAGTTTAAGTTATACAATATAAAAATAATAAAAAATTAACTATAAATAAATAACTATTGTAAGTTTATTTACAATTAAATATCTTAAAGAAAATTTATTAATATTATTTTATTAATAAATATTTACTTAAAAAATGTAATTAAAAATTATATTACACAGGCAATATAGTACACTAAAATAATTATAGAAATACCAACTGATTTTCAAAAAATTCATTATCTTTCCAATAAGTATTTGTAACATTTTTTATTTCTTCGACGAGTATAGATTCAAATTTGTTCTCAATTTTTTTCTTCTAAAAAAATAAAAAAAAAAAATAATCATAAAGTAATATTATTTAATTCAATAAATAATTTTACTTTAAGTTTTGGAATATCTTCATCTTCTAATTGTTTTGATTCATCATTGGTTACATGCTGTGATCTATTTTCATACACATGATCAATGATGGCAGCAATTGTTTCCTATGAGAAAAATATAATATGTTTAAGTGATTTATAAATTATAAATATACAAATAATTAAAATAAAACTTTATTTGTAAGAATATATATATTTACTTACTTTTGCTAAGAATAGAAATACTTCTTTAACTTGTTTATCATAATTGATTTTTGGTGGAAGATATTTATGAACATGACGCAATAAAAGATCTCCTTTATCATTACGAAAATGTTTTTTTCTACATACCTGGAAACCTTCATACCGTCTATAAACAAAATACATCACAAATATTAATGCATAATATATGAATTATTAATAATATTTAGTTATTTACTCGGCTCCTAATGCAAGTGAAAGATCATTAACTCTAATTTGGCGTTTTTCAGTTGCATTTTTAATATCCTCTTTAGTTATTTTAAACTCCAATTTCAATTCAGCAATGGCACAGATAAATTGTTTAAATATACTTTTTTTCAATTGAGCTGCAGTATACTTAGGTGGTGTAGTAAAATCATATGACAATAGACTCAAAGAGTCTATATTATTTATATCTAACAATAAAAAAAAAAAAAAAAAAATTTTATTAATTAAAGAAGGTATCAATAATATTTAACAAAATACCTAATGATAATTAATAGAAGCAAACATTTATGTTGTTAAAGTTCAACTTTAATAATATACATTTATAAAAAAATAAACACTAGGTATTAAAAAATGAATGACTACAAATTAAAATTTAGGTACACAATATTTAACATTGATAGTTTTCATACAAGAGAATAATAAATACTTTATGATATGAATACATACTTAAATCTAATGTTTTGTCAAAATCTGGATTTATTAAATCTTCAAAAGAACTAAAATCTTCTTTAGTTACTTGTTTAATACTATTATCTTCTTTCAAAGTATCATCTGTATCTTTAATACCATTTGTTGAGAGTCGATAAATATTATCTTTTAATACTAGAAATAAAAATAACAAAAAAAAAAATGCCATTAAAAATCCTAACAGGTTTTATTTGTAACCATTAATGATAATAATTGTATTTGCATAAATTACAATTTAAACAGTGAAATTCAAAAATGTTTTACTCATCTGTAAGTATTATTTATATTATATTTATGTAGAAGTATAATATAAAATATAATCACACTGTTATGTTTAAATTTAAATTTATTTAATGTTTATCAGCTAAAGTAGTAAAGTTAAGTTATAATAGTAATTAAATACAATTATATGTTTTATTATTTTTCATTAATAACTTCTTGTTTAAAGTAAGCTGTACTTAATTGTATTATCAGAAACATAGCTCATTTTTAGGACTTAATAGTTTAGAATAACTTATTCATTTTTTTATCTTAGTCAGAATGAACCCTTAAAGATTTATGAGGTTTAAGTAGAAAATAGTCTATTCATAACTTTTAATGAGTTATAAATATAAATTTTCTTAATAAATGATTAAGATACATTACACTAATTATATTACAATTGTATATAAGAATAATATAATAATATTAACATTATTAAATAAATGTAACACTTACAATAATACGACAAAACTCTGATCAGAGTAAACTTGCAATTTTTAATAACAGATACAATATGTTTGATTAATATTTGTTTGTCACCATGTTTGCCTGCTTCTTGTTTTGTTTTGTAAATCAGCAAGGTCATTTGTCTTACTAGTACCGATCGGATTTCAGTTATCGAGTCGATACGAGGTCGTCTCTCGCCAAAACCATGACTTATTTCACGAATTTCTACGGAAAAAAAAACATCAATTTTCTATTAAAATGTATACGATCTACAATAAATTGTACGCAAACCTTGAAGAAGCCACTCCGATTTATCCATGCTGAAATTTGTTTTTTTGAATCGATGGCCGTTGACTATGAGATTACGGGCAGAAATCAAAAAAAATCAATCACCAGAGTTAGTTAGTTCGAGACCTGGGCCAAAATATTATTATTCAAACGGTATGCGATCGCCGTCCAACACGAATTATTAAGATATTTATTATATTATATTAATAATAATTTGTGTACAATATCTCAGTTCGCGGCTTCCCAACGACACTGACCGTATCAGCCATGCAAGACGTTGTGATAAGAACCGTATTAAAATCGATCAACATTCGCGACACAAGAGCTTCGGACACATGTTACATTAGGGAGAGAAAAAAAACCGATAGAATATTATAACTTAATAAAACTGTGTCTTTAACCGTAATATACTGTAATACGGCCAAAGAAATCATTCGGACGCTCTATTAGTGCTACGTAAGTATCGATAATCGATCGATCCCCGATGGTCGCGATAAGGGTTTTCATAACAGATTTAAATTCACCTGTGAACTGGTGATTGACTTGAAAATTGTATTTTCAGTTCAACAAAACTCGAATACAAACTTCATCAGTTTTTCGCGGTTTTTCAACAGCATTGATTAAATTCAAATGGACGAAATCGAAATGTTGTCCATCACAAATAGAAAAAGTGCCCGTGTTGCAGGTGTGATAGACAGAAAAAGTAATCTTATTAGGTCATTCAATAACTCGCCAGAAAACCCGAATAATATTGAACAGACTATAATAGTGTACGAGAACAGCCAAAATATTGTTAGTTGTACAGATCGATTTTGATAAGTCATCATGATTCATGAAATTTACTTTTAGGTACTCTTTGTTTGAAAAGATAAGATATTTTAAACCGTGCATGAAAAGACACAAATCCACGACCTTAGATTATTGGACAAAAAGGTGTTATAAATAGCCGGGTCTCGGCTTGACATTATTGTTATCGTAATATATATTTCTTCATTTCAAACTTTTAAAATAAGACAATAGAACTTACCACTAAAACCTATGTATACAAATGTAATTAAAAAGAGGACAATAACATCACCTGAACATATAAAAAATAAAAATTAGTTTCGAATTTAAACTGTATGATACATGATTAAAATGTATTTTATCATATTGGCACTATATTTTTATGTTTTACTCGAAGCGGTACCAAAATGGTATTATTGTACTGGTCTGTCATGCGCTTTTAAAGTTAGTTAACGGGTCATGTTTTTAGTTTATGATGATTTCATTTCATTATGGTACAATCATAGGGATTTTTAGTAATCTAATAACTCTAATGGTATAATACAATTTAAACGTATCAGTTAAAATTCAAATTCCAGGCGCTCTTTTATCTTGTTGCGCTTGGTTTCTGATAGGTATTACCGACGGGTGTGCTCACGGTAACATACTGATACCGATTTATTATCGTTTATCATTAACGAATTCGTTTTCCAGTGATAAAAACATAAGCAACAAATCGCACCACAATGGACACGGTTTGATTTAAACCCAAGTATGAATATCTTTTATGACTGCAATTTGTTGGATAAAAACGCAGTTATATTGACTATTTCAATCGATTATACACACAATTTAATTAATTTAACATGTAATTTTATCAAATAGTATTATAATCAAATAATAAGGCGTAATTGTTTACATGTATGTACCATTAATAAATATAAATTATAATATTGTCTGAAGAATACTTTACACCCGGCTTATATTGTCTTTGATTTCTGTTTGTACAACGTAAAATGTAGTGAATTTACGTTTAGCAGAATCAATTATGTGTTATAACTTTTAATATTAGAGTAAATTGACCTATCAAACTCAAAAGGAAGAATGTTATCCGAGATTCATCAAAGGAGTTATTTAGTTTTTTACTATATTTTAATCTTTAAGCAAGTTTAAGATTTTTAAAATTATAATATTAGTGGGTGTAACATACTCTTAAAAAAATCATATTGATATAAAATATGTAAAATTTGTTAAAAAATTTTAGATTAAGTTAATATGGAGGCTAAATTTATGACACAAGAAACTATTAGTGCCAAAGCATGTCCCAACTACATCAAATTGAAGTTTCAACAAGCTAAACGAAGACAAGAAACTTTAGAAATACAAAAACAGTAAGTTAAAGTATTTTTACTAAGTTTAGCTATCACTTTTAATATATTTTAAAACTTGTAATTCAGTATATCAATAAATAAATAAATATTCTATTTTATTGTTGTTTATTTGTCATTATTTAAATCATTAATAAATTGGTAACTTTATTAGTTGTATATTGTCTTATAGGTAAATAAAAAAAAAACACATTTAAATTTACTATAAAGGGTTCTGTTATTATTTAATCAATTAAACTTATTATTATACATTATATAACAAGGATTGCCGCATGGGGGGCATATTTGGTCCTCCTAATTTTTTTTTTGTTAAGTAAGAATAATGCAAAACTAAAGGTGTATTTTAATTTATTATAAATTAACTATGTAAATTGTATATTACAAAGGGTTTTAAATTTTTTTAATTTTTCTTGTGATAATTGTTTGTGATGTAATGTATTATAAATGAATAAAGTGATTACAGAAACTTGAATTTAGATTATTTGTAAACTTCAAATTACCAAATAATTTCTAGTAATTCCCATTAATTAATACACTTACTGTATAAAAATCAATATATTATTATTGAAATTATTTTTAAGATTTAAGTTGTTACAACACGTAAAATGCTATGTGTTGGTAATTGATTCATATTTAAATATATGCTTGATAATTAAGTTATTATTGTTCTTTAACAAATTATTTTTAACTGTATTTCCTATATATTAGTTATATCAGTATTTAATGTATACATCATTAGTTAAATATATATATATATATAAATATTATAATATATATATTAATTCCAATTGAATAGTATTAATTAGAAATTATTTTATCTTGTTTTTTTTTTTTTTTTTAGAAAACGTGAAGAACAAATTAATGAAAAAAGATATTTAGCAAATTATACTGGTTGTAATTGGATGGTATGTTGTCTATTAATAAAATTTACAATATTTTCAACTAACTTATTTCTTATCTTCAAAAATCTAGAACAGTAATTTTTGTGTTAACTACATCCTACGCATATAATTTAATCATATACATATTGATATTTTATTATACTAATAATTTTAATAGTTATAACTTATCAGGTATTATAAGTTATAATTATTATTATAATTATAAATTATAATATACACTATTATTTGATAAATAAGTTAATATTTAATAAATAATTGTTGATATTAAAGTAATTTTATTGGTCTATTTTAAATATAATTATGTTTATTTTTATAAATTTGATTACATCATTAGTAAAATATTTTTTAATTTAGGAAATCTTCTTCATTGGCATCACGAATTTTTAAGTTTTTTCTGCCATTAACATCTCTTTCCACTTTTCCCAATTTGGTATCCCTAATTTCTCTAAGTTCTGCTTTATTCCATCTAGTCATCACTTCTTCGAACGTTCTCGTGGTCCCATTCCTGTGGGTTTCCATTTGACCGCCGCAATTTAATTTAATTTAATTTAATTTAGGAAATGTATGATGAAAATAATAGAACTACAATTAAAAATGAAGCATATGAACTTGCTTTGTCTTTGATGAATTCTGAATATATGCTTGAAGTACCTGAGGACATTGATAATTGGATAGCAGTTTTATGTCCAGATGGGAAACGTTGTTGTATTATTTCTCAAGATGTGAGTTAATGGACATAATAATCACCAAGAAAGATTTTTAGTACATTGTAATAAATAAATATTTATTTTTCTTTCAGAACAAAACAAAAGTAGTCAATAAATTTGGAACTACTCTAAATTATTTTCAGTCATTATTTCCTCATGGATGCACAATTTCAAATAATTATCCATCACATCGCAAACGTACTGTCTTAGATTGTATATATAGTTATAAATTAAAAAAATATTATATTTTGGACATCATTGAATGGATGGGCGTGCCATACACAGATTTTGATGTGTGTATTTTTAATTTTTATATAGTATTTATTATTATAAAAAATAATGTTGAATTAATTTTGGTTGCAGGCTGAATTTAGATTTTACTTCATTCAAAGTAAACTCAGTGAAATATCAGGTATTAACGAAAAGTCAGAAAAAAATGATTATCCATTTGAAGTATGTTACACTTGTATAAAACTGAAAGAATTATATATTTATAGTAAAATTTGTTTGATTTTAGCTTGCTCCAAGAATGGTAACTCATGAGTTGTATCCACTTCTATTGGAAAACTTCCAATTCTTTCCTAAAAATGTGTATTTGGATGGTATTAATTTTTACTATTCAGAAAGTTTGTATACTCCTGGAGATACCCCGTTGGTACTTTGGCTAAATCCATTCATGGTACCTGATGTCTTAGGAAGACAAGTAAATGATCTATTGGCACAGAAACCTCTCGATTATGTCAACATTTTTGAACATTGCCAAAATTTGAAAAAAAAGAAACGTAAAAGAAAAAAAAATAGAAAAAATCCTCAGTATAAACAAATGGAAATAGATGATTTCACTGAGGTTTGTAGAATAAAATAATATACATGATTGATATTTTATGAATCATATATTTCATTATTATTTTATTACAAATAACATTTATGATTTGCAAACTTAAATAAAATAATAGTTAAATCTTATTATTTAAAAGTTATTATTTTCTTCAGAATCCTAATATATTTTGTTTATTTTAATTGTGATAGGTGGAAACAGATAAAGATCCTGCCATCGAAAATGAAATGAATATGGAAAATTAAAATCAATGTCGTTACATTATTAATAAATACATGTTATGTATGACAAAAGTTAATATTATATTATTTTTTTGATGCATAAATCAATTATATCACATCAATATTATTCAGTATTAAAGGTGTAATAGGAAAAATAAATTACAATTTTAGCGAAAATCGTATTGTCATGATTTCGAATAGAAAAAAATATCAGGTTTTCTGTGTAAGAACGAGATAAATCCGAATATCCATGTAGAAATTATAAGGGTTTTGAACTACCTGGTTTTTTGTTTTCTGAAGAAAAACCAGACAACTTCGGAGCTGTCTTGGTTTTACCATAGGTTTAATTTTTTTTTCTTAAAACTCAAGTATACTGTTTGATAGTATAAGTACATAATAATAATTATTATTAACTCTGTTAAAAAAAAAAAAAAAAACTTATACTTTGTAAGCTTTTTACTAAGCTTTTTATATTATAAAAAAAAAATGGATTTACTAACTCCGAGCAATAAACAATACAACTCCAGGAAAAGTTTCTTATTTTAGGCTAAAAGAGTAAAAATATTCATGTATCAACTTCATTAAAGGTACTACAGTTTTTATTACTATTTAAAGTGTATAAAATAATTTTTCTTTTTATTATTCTTTACTTATATATATATATTAAACATTGAATATGTGCTTCCTGAAAAAAATTATAAAACGGAGCTGTCTGGTTATTGCACAGAGCCCTTCAATTAATTATCAACACATTTATTTTTTGGTAGCAATCTATTATTTACTATAATTATTTTATACCTTTTAACAACGAATCAAGACATTTTGAAAAGGATATTAATATTTTTTAAAATTACTTTTGAACTACATGATGAAGCTATTGAAAAAAAAACTCTACAATCCAATTTTTGCTTATATTTTTATATATACATGAATAATTTATTATATTATATCTTAGGCCCGTGGTACCATGACCCACAAAGGTATTCAATGAAACCCCTTTACAGTTTCTTTTTAAAAATGAAACAAAATATTAAAAATATTAAATACGTTTTTTTTTTAAATATTTTAATTTTATTTTTGAGTTTTTTCAAATAGGAATATCACCATGTAATTGGTGCACTTAAAATAAAATATCATACTCGTCAAATTAATATGTACCTCAATCTGTAATTTTTTCAGTAATCAATAAAATCTTAGTAGTACTAACAATTTACAATTTTGAGTTTAACAATCTTTTATAAAAATAAATATTTTGTATATTTTTATAGTAGAGAGTCGAAAATAAAATGATTTATTTTTACTAGTTGTAAATTTTAATATCAACCAGATTGGTATCATTTTGTAAAAAATTATTATTGGTTATTTATAATTTTAAATAATTAATCTATAAAAGTTGGTAACATTTAAGAATGAGGTGTTTTAATTTTGTAAAAATTACAGTAAGAAATGTTAAATAAATTAGTAACTTAGTAGTTAGTTTAGGTTTAGATTTACTGGGTTTATTTGACATATTTTTAGTAGTATCTTAGTCATTTGAAGATGAAAGTTAGACAATTAATTATCACATACAAAATATTTATTTTTTCTAAACGGATACTACCTAGTAATTAAAGTGGTTCATTCTTTTATTTTTCCATGACAGCCTAAGATTGATAGCAAGAAGTAAATCTGAATTCAGACTGGAAGTGTAAATTTTAAATTTAGACCTTAATACTTGGGTTGTTCTAAATTAAGAGAAGTATAAAATATCCTAATAGTAGTAAAAGTAAAATAATAAAAATTAAGAATCATATTGATCATTATCTCTATTATTTTAAGTGTAATTATACTAGGTACATTACATATTTGTTTTTTTTTTTAAATAAAATGTTTATATTTTTTTTAAGAATAATTACAAAAAAAAATTGAAAAGGATTACAAATAAAAATAATAGTATTCGTAGGCCAATCATGTTTAATTATTAGGGTTCGAAAGTTATAGGAGCTAAAAAAGGCAAAATATACACGAAAAACTGATAAAATTTGCATGAAAAAATGTGAAATATGCAAAAAAAGAATTTATTTTTATATTAAAAGTTAATTGAGAAATTTTAAAAACTATAATTAAAAAAATTGTACTTATTCATAGTAGACATTAAAAAATTGCAATAAATAAACACGAAAAATAATAATGAGTCATATATGATGCACGTTTTCCGCGTTATTAGCGTTGTGTTATGTAACATTATTTAAAATAAATTGGTTAAGAATGAAAAAAGATTAATTTTTTTAGAAAATATAAAAAATATGCGAAAAATGAATGAAAATTAACGAAAAATGCACTTTTTCTGTAAAATTAACAAAATATGCAAAATATCCATTTTTAATTTTCAATTTTTAAACCCAACATTATATAACTCGGATTTCTAGCTTGGTCTGCTATAAACTGAAAGCATACAGAACAATATGCAACTCCTATAACTTCCAAACCCTATAGTTAATTCTAGAATATCTATAGTTATATTAAATATTTCAGATCAATAACCATACATATATCAACTACGAGTGAATCTAAGAAGATTTATAGTTTTCTAAAAATTGCACGTTTAATATTTTAAATTTAATAAATAAATCTAAATCGAATTTAGTTTCAATAAATAAGTATTTAAAAATATGAACAAATTACTACTTGATGAGTTATAAAATGTACAGCAAATTTGTCAATGGAATCATATACTAGGTTACTTTCAATATTCTTTACAAATTTAATTTATGTAATTTTGTAGATGTCAGTATAACAAAATCATTACTAAGCATCAAGCTGTTAGGATAATATTCAGAAATCACAATTTATTTAAATTATGGAATTCACTAATATATAAATTATATTTATATTCAATTTCTGACAATAGAAAAATTAAAATAATTTTCCAAAATGATTAAGAGAATTTATAACATTCTGTTGTACACACAAAACAATTTATCAGAATCTTAAATTTACAGTTTCTGTAACCATTCGCACTCATTCTGAAAATAATTTATTAATAAAATTGTGTAATATAGCATCATATATTATTCAAAGGTGTAAAATGGAGTAGGAAAAATTTTAAATAAAAATACAAATGCATATTCAAAATCAAATTCAGTGTATTGAAATCAAAAGACAAAGTAAACTAAATAAAATTCAGCTTGTGTTTTAACATAAACAGCAGTCAATAAATCCTTAAAACTATCACAATACTCTACTGAAGCAAATAAAATTTGTTTTTATATTACATAATAATCCCTAAGTCGTTTATATTTTAATTCTTTTTGTTTTTTTAGAAAGAAATAACATTGGTTCAATATCATAACTAACCCATTATTATAAAATAGTTAACTATATATTATAATGGAATGGAAACGAATATAAAATAAATTAAAATAATATCTTACTACTAGTTATATTGTATTAACAGTGAACAATAAAAAACGGAAAAAAGCCAAAATCAAACAAAAATGATTACATTTATAAAAAATATTCGGGTATAAAAAGAAACTATAAAAAACAAAGCTATATATTATTTGAAAAAAAAAAGTGTAGAAGCAAAATAAATAAATAATTTTAGTGTTAAATCATCCAATTACAAATTAATAACATAACATTTCATTTTGTTTAGATTTAAGTAGTTCAACTCTTTGTTGCACTTAAGATTTTATACAAATTCAATTAATAAAATAACAATACACATTGGAAAGACGAGGGATTACTCTTTAAATAATTATAATTTATGTTATAAATTAAGTCTTTTTCATGAACAATACATTTTTTTCAAAATTTTATCTTTAAAAATTATAATTTATACAATTGGTTACTTAACTTTTCAATAAACAATTTCATGTATTCAATTTCTTTGGTAATTTTCCAAAAACAAAAACTAATATATATTTATATAAAGAAACAAAACAATTATCTAAAGTACACTAATGTAATTTTTACAAATTAAAAAAAATAATGTTTAAATCATACTTTACACTTATACATGTTATAATACTAACCTTATATACATTAATTAAATTAACTCATTGCTTATTGAGTTAATATCAAATGTTTAATTTTATTTAAAAAAAAAAAACATATTTACCAGTGTTTCTAAATTAATATTAAGAGTTAAAAATTAATAACAACAAATTAAGTACATTAATAAAGAAGTAAATATATTATACAAATTAATATTCATAAAAATATAATGTATTTATGTATACTGTATAATAATGAATAACACATTAAAATTATATTTTAAAGTTTACTTAAATATATCTAGTTTGGAACATATTATTAGTTATAATTATTTTAATAGGATAGCAAAATATATTCCTTTCGAATTTTTACTTAAACAAAACATAATTAATATTATCTATAAGAATCATCATTTTGTAAAATTGCCCTCGAAAACAAAAAATAATAATATTTACAATGCATTATGAATTGATGCATATTATTGTAAATTATTGTAAAAAGTAAAATAATCATAATAATAATAATAACAAACTAATAAGTTAAAAATATATACCATATTCTCAACTGATAAATTAATTGATTAAATTTTTACAATTAGCGATTATAAGATATACAATTTCAGTAAATAATTGTAATTTGATAATTTTATTTAAATATATAACATCAAATGAAATACACTTTACATACATTTTCTAGTAAAGCTTAATGTAATTAATAATAAAATGGTAAATGTACCTTTATTAATACATACTAAAAGTATCATATTATTCATCAAAGTCATGGTAATTATTTAGTACAAATTTCAAACCATCAAAAAAATACATATTCTTAGTTTAAATAGTTTAATACTACATTTATCAATATACTTAAAATAATTTCCAAAAAATGATTGTAATTCAATTAAGTTAATAACTCTATTAACATTATATAAGTAGTCTAAAACCTTTTTTTAACTATACTTTTCATACTCTATTTCAGCTATTTTTTTATAGAATTAAAGCATATTATTATTATTAAAACTTTCATGCAATATTGCCAAAAAAAGATACCTCAAATTTAATTTATTTATGAAACTGAATTTATTAATACATCATATGTAATAAAAATACTTAATACACTTTTAAACTATAATATATGGGAAAATATTAACTATTTATATATACAATGTCTTCAACAATGAAAAATTAGACAAACATTTGAAAAAAATATATAAACATGTATTACTTATTACACTAAATTATTGATGTATTATATGATGCAATTTTTTAAAAAATTTTTTTATAAATTATCTCATGATACTAAAATAATTATTTATTACTAAGAAAATTTTATTTTATTTGAATATACATAGTTAAATAAAATAAAATTAATAAGTATTATGTGTTAAAATTTATGTTTATATTTTTTAAATAATTATACAGAATATCTAACATAATAGTTTTGAGTTTACATAATTAGGTATATAATGAATAGAAATAATGTAAATCAAATTTGGTTTCAACAATGGCAAAAGTAAATTCAATTTTACAATTTTGATTTTTATTAAATAAACATATGTATTAATTGATATATATATATATATATATATATATATATATATTAATCAATAATGTAACAATTACCAGTTTTTCTGATTTTTGTGCTAGATAATTTACTCCTCCAGCTGGAGTAATGGTAACTTTAGTAGCATTAAATATTTAACATAGATATACAATTTTACTGATGCTAATTAAGTAGATTTTTTTGAAATTCTCCTGAGGGATAGTCTTGTAGTTGTCATCTTGTTAGGTGGACTGCCCATTTGTGGTGATTTATTAGATAAATGTTGATTATTCTTAACATTATTCTTTTTTAAGCGATTTGATAATCTTCTATTGTTTTCTCTTTTTTCAGCACTTAATTTCTGTTCAGCTGTTTGAAGTTTTGTATTGTTAAGTTTAGGAAGCTCAGATTTTTCTTCGTTATCTTCAGATGTACGTCCTCTATACATACGTTTTATCACTTGAGATTCTATAAATCCATCTTCTTCAATATTTTTGCGTTTACTTTTGCGAAAATTGTAATGTGGTGTTCCACTACTAATTGTTGAAGTGCTATCTTCAGACATACATGTTTCAGAATCTGCAGCAGCAGTATTTGAAGGTGATTCTGGGCATGAATCAATATGTTCAATTGAATCCAAAATAGGTTTTGTGCCGTTTATAAATGGTTTTGTTTCACAATCATTGGAATCTTGGTTCATTTCATTATACAAAGCTTGTTTTAAAAATGATACTTTGGTTTTATTTTTCTTAGAAGGACTACTTGTTAGTTCAACACCAGAAGTACTTACTGTGGAGGTAGTTGTATGAGACAAAACTGATTTACGTTTACTATGGAAGACATTTGAATCATTCGACTTTGATGTAGATGCTTGTAATAGACCAAGTGTTGGACTCACAGATTTATCTAAATCGTTTAATATGGCAACTTCTGGAAATAATTCATTTGTACTTGGTTTATCAACACCCAGACCATCAATATCGTCATATAAATCATATTCCTTGGGAGTTTCAACATTATGGTCAAATTTTTTACATTGTTCAAATACAAATATTTTTAAATCTTTAAATGTTTTTATTTTAGTTTGTTGAAATGATTCCTGTAGTTGTTTCAAGTTTTCGCCTTCTAATATTTTTTGAGTTCCAGGAGGCATTATTTTAGATAAACAGTTGTTCCAGTTCTTGGATGACAAATCATTTTTTAAACGATGAGTTAATGATCCAATTTTAGTGTTTATATTGGTAGTAGATTGATCATCTAACATATTGTACACAGTATTACTTAAAGTATTTTCATTTTCATTTTCTGATTCACACTCTATTTTAACTGGTTGTTTTGGAGATAGCTCTTCTTTATGTTTATCTATGGACAAAACAATATGAAATTGTAAAAGCTTTTAATAATAAATGTTTTATTATTAGAACGTGCTTAAGATCCAAGAAAATCCTATGGGTTAATTTAAGTAAAATTAGTATGTGTGTACTAAAATATGATAAAGTTTACATTAATAATTAAATTATCTAATTATAAATTTATATTAATAGTCATGGTTAATATTATTTTATATGTATTTATTTATTAAGTGCATCAATACTATCTGTATAACTAAATAAAAAGTATAATAATATTCCCAAATATTTATTAAAACACAAAATATTTATTATTTCATTACAATTGAATAGCATTTTTCTACTAAAAAAATAATTTATAAAATTAAAAATTAATCACTAATATTTCCATACATTATAGCATAATTTTTAATTTAATTTAAATGTTAGAAAAGTCTTAGTCCATTTTAAATTTTCAATAGTAAAGGTATTATATTTCTATCAAATAGTAGGAATCTATTAGTATCATAATATTATAAATTTATTTCTCTCTGAATTTTAATAAAACACACTGAATGAAATTTAGTTATAAATTTAAATTAAAATTGGTTTGTATTATTTTACTATAAAAAAAAAACTAAGAGTATAAACATTTTTACTAAATTATTGTATGACATATAAATAATTTGTGTACAATAAATTGAAGACTAAAAAATATAAATAAATAATAATCACTGGTTATTATTTTTACTTACAAGCATTTGATGTTTGGTTGGCAGTAGAAATTATTTCAGCAGCTGAAGCAGCAGCAATATCACTTAATGCTATATTTGGTTTACTTTCTTCTTTATTCATAGAACTGGAAATATTTAATGTGCTAGATGCACCTTCTGTAGTAATAGTAGATGAAACTTTTTGCTTCATTGTTGAATTATCATCGCTTTTCATTTTATTTCGATCATTTTCACTCAAACGCTCAATTGGAATCTGATTTGTGTTTGTAATTTCCATTTTGTTTTCATCAGTTTTGGTTATATTTTGTTGACAATCTTTTTCAATCATATTAGATGTACCTTTATTAGTTTCTTTTTCAATTTCGTGAGAATGAAATGATGGAATGTTAGTACTTTCTGAAGATCCAGGCGGAACAAAAGATGGCTCTTCTTTAATAGTTATAGTTGATTTTTCTTGAGTACAAACAACTTTATCATTGCTAGAATCATCAGTTATTTCTTGTTTAATACTTGAATTGCTTGGTTTATTATCACAATAGTTTTTTTGAATATTTTCCAAAATGTTATTTTGAGTTACAGACAATAATTCACTATTATCAGATGGTTCTAGTTTAGGTTTACACGGAAGAGTATGTATGACACTAAATGTACTTTGAGATGCTTGATTTTTTTTCATAACAGGAAACGGCAATTGCTTTTCATTATTATCAAGTACTTTAGCTTTTTCCAATGATTCTACAATTATATCAGATTTGTTTAATTTATGTTCAAAAACTGTTGAATTGTGTGAAGCATTAAGTACAATTTCATTTCCAAGACTAGTATTAGTAACTTGTAAATCATCAGTGGATAATGCTGACAAAATATTGGATTCGTTTATACTTTGGCCTAATATATTGGAAGAAATTTTGACATCATTTGAGCAAGAGTCTTTAGTTGTGATTTGATGAAAAAGAACAGGACCAGGTCCAGTGACAGGGCAATGTAATCTGTACATTTTTTGATTACTCCCAGCAGCCACAAGAAGTCTAACATTTCCTGCACTACCTTCAGGAATGGATAAAAAAGGTCCAGATGTTCCACTTACAACAATTTGCGTAGATTGAGATACTTTAGACTTAATTTCAGCATCAACATTAATTTTCTTAATAACATCATTGACATTAATCAATGCATTTTCAATTAAAGGAGTTTCTGAAATCACTGTTGTAGTTTGTTCATCTGAAATTCGCGAAGGCGAATTTATAATATGTGAAAAATGGCTTACAGCATTAGAACTATCTTCACTGTCAATAGCTTGCATGTCAGAAGTAGGACTCATTTCCATGCCAGACGATGAGCAAGATGTTTGTTGAGAACAAGTTTTTAAATTTAAGTGATTGGACTTTTTACGTTTAGCATTCAAGCTTGGATTTGTAGGTGGGTTTGTTCTACGTCTTGGAGCTGGCTTATTTTTTAGTTCGGGTGAATTACGAAGTTGTTCTGCATATTTATCAAGAATTGCGTATATTCTTTGAGTTGTTTGCTCATCTTCTTGCAATTTGGGTAAGGGTTTCTGCAACACTGGAACTTTAACAGTTGAAGTCGACGGAGAACTAACTGGTGTTTTAATAATAGGTTTTACTTTGTTTGCAATCTGTTTTGACCCATCAACTGGAATAATCGGCATACTGTTGTTGCTGGGGGATGTTACCATTGGTATAGGAGTAACACTACGAACGGAAATAATTGTGGATGGTACCGATACTGGTTCTTTTTCTTCAGTAGCTAAATCACTTACATTTGGTAATGTTTGATTTATAAATGAAAATGAACAGCGATCTCTTTCATTGCTTATATTAGATTTTTTGTTTAAAGGAAATAATGTTTGATTACTATCTGTATTAAGTAAGTCAACATTTCCTGTAGGCGAATGAATCTGAATTATTTCGTGATTTATTTGTGGTAATATACTAGCTGTACTCAATTCATTCATCAATGAAGTTTTCCTAACTTCTTCCAACACAGATTCAAATTCCCTCACTTGTTCCATCATTGAAGAACTAACATTTGATTCAGAAACATTAGATTTGCTTGCACTTATTGATATCTTATTGTTTAACGAATCAATAGTAGTTTTTACAATATTTGTAGAAATTAACTTTTCAACTGTTGAAGTTGTCTGTACTTCAGTACTTTGTTTGCCTTGACGAAAACAATTTTGTTGCCAAGTAGGATGTTTACGTAATACAGTTTGAATGATTGAAGGAGTAACTTTTAGTTGTCTTTGAATTTGGGTTACACTGTGTAAAGATTTTTCAATACTACTATTACCTTTTGAATCAGCTTGTATAGGAATTGAATATACCAAATTAGAACTAGATGATGCAATCGCTGAATTATTGCAATTTGAAGTAAATGCAGATAGAACTTTAGGAATGGGTAACCCAATAACTTCTTTTTTAACAATATTATTATCAATGTTACTAGAAAGTAAATGATGACTAGATGATACAGATACTTGAGGAATATTTTTAACAGATGAAACTGTTTTAGACTTCATTGTAACATTATTTTTGTTGTTGCCAAGTGTCATAATGTTATTAGATTTTGTCACATTAAGACTATGTTGAAGTTTACTTTCTATCAATTTTGGTGATAAGCAGTTCATAGAATTAGAACAAATTGGATCACCATCATGATTTGTCTGTACCCCTTTTGAAGATGAATATACTCGAGATGTTGATAAATTAGTTCGATTTATAACTGGCCCAGGATTTGAAGAGGGAATATTTACCACGTTTGATGAACAAAATGATGAAGTGTCATTGATAACAGATGAGCTTTGAAATTTTGTTTTACCGAAAACTTGTTGGAATCTTGGTAACATTGAGCCCGTGACTGTAACATTTGGAGATGCATTTGGTAAAGGTTTTGGCTTTTCTAAAGATTCTTTAACTTGCTTATTTTGAATTTTTACATTAGGCATGGTATTATTTATTGGAGAGATCAATGATTTAGATGGTTCTATTTGATTTATAACTTCATCTTGAACTGCATACAGAGTTCCTTTTTCAAATACAAACATATCAGACATATTGGCTTGTTTTAAAGCTCTGGTTTTACTTTCATAAGATCTCATATTTCCACGTCCTTTATTAGATGATTTAGAACTTAAGTCATTTTCCTGGCTAATACTAGAAACACATTCTGCAGTATTTTGGAAAATTGATACATTTGGAGTACTATTTTTATCTATGGTATGAATAAGACGTTGTGATTCTGAACTGCTAGTAACAAATTTAATTGCTTGCGAAGTAGCAGTAAATGTTTGACTTATTAATTTTAGATTGTCAATTTTCTTTTGTTCATCTGATCGATTTGATTTAGAAATATGGTTTAAATCGGGATTTTGAATTCTTAAGTTTTGTGAAGATGTGTATGATGAGTTATGTACATTTGTTTTTATAACTTGACTTTGAGTTGAAGCAATCATTAACGATATCACTGAAGAATTAGGATTCAAAACTTCATTTGATGGCTGTAAGTCAATACATGTTTGAGTCTGTGTACTTGAGACTGGATTTGCAATAGAATTATTTGATTTTAAATGATCAAATAAGTTGTTTTCTTTAAAAAATGAAGCATTCACAATTGAAGAGGTGCTAATCCTACTATTTATTGAATTCATAATTTGATCATTTAGTATAGATAAATTATTTGAAGTAGGATTATCAGTTATATTGGTACATATTTGAGAAGGTTGGTTATTTGGGGAAATCTTATTATGTAAACCATCAGAATGTTGGTTGTTAAAATTAACTTGCAAGCCAACTGATGTTTGAACCAGAGAATTTTGTTGAAGTTTTGAATCAAAGGTTACTTTATTTGAATTAATTGCTGATGGTATATTTGTAGAACGATTACAATTTGTTGATACAGAAGATATTGATGTTGGTAATGATAAATCAAATCGTTCACGATTTTTAATATTATAAGCTGAAGTCTTTTTCATTGCATTAGTATTTTGTCCTGTATTTGTAGTTACATGACTAGTATTATTCACATCAGAACTACGAACAATCACATTTGATGATGAATGTACATTTTCAGTTGTTGATTGTAGTCGTTCCCCAGAGGTTTGTAATTGAATATCATTCCAACGTCGATGATCAAGGTTAATTTGATTTTGATTTAATAGCACATCATGTGTTCCTATTGGTTTATTTGTTTCTAGCTGACCAGTACTGTGGACACATGTATTTGAATCAGTTGTTATTCTTTGATTACTTACAGACACACTTCCAGTAAAACTACATTCACCATGATGGGGAGTTCCAGAATTTTGATTGGAATTTATATTATTTAATGAATTTGATTGATACATAGACACAAAATCATCCAATGATTGAGCATTATTTTGATTATCATTACTTTTCTTTTCATTTTCGTTATTTGAATGATTTGAAACATGATCAGTTTGTGTTTGTGAAACATTTGTTAAAGTCTTTGATGTAGCTTGAATTTGTACAACATTAACAATGTGATCTGTATTTACTGGCCTGATAAAATCTAATGAACTAAGTTGAGGAATTCGTTCAGATAGCATAGTCAAATGTTCATTATTAGGAGATGGGAGATCAAAATCATGAATTTTTTCCATTGAATTTTTATTACTGCTTTCAAGTTTTTCATCTTTTTTGCTAGGCCTTTTTCTAGGATTCCACGAATAGTCAAAATCTTTATGTTGATTTTTATTGACAGTTCTTTTTTCTCGTTTTACTCTATCTATTGGATTAGAGTTTCTATTAGTGTTGGGTATTTTATCTGATTCACTTTTGAAAACTTCCACATTTTCGTTTGAAATAGAGTCAATTGAATTATCTCCATTTTCATTTGATAAATTAGTATTTTTAGACTGAGTTTCATCATTTAAAAAGGAGCTTACAGTCGAGTCATCATTTTCTTCAAAACTATTTTGATATTTAAAACTTTGTCTGGTTTGTATACCATCAGTTTTAGGTGTTTCAGGTTGTTCAACTTTTGGCTTTTTCGGTGGTCTAGCTTTAGATGATTTAGCTCTTGCTGATCGTTTGCGTGAAGTACCTTTCCGTTTTCTTGAGCGAGCTTTTCCTTTACGCGAACGGTGTTTAACATATTTTCCTGAATGAGATAACATATCCCCAGATGAAACAGCTGATGGTAAAGAATCTTCATCACTTAAATAATTGTCACTGCTAGAATAACTTTTACTATGAGATATTTTTTTATAATTCACTCCTGTTAATTCATTATATTTTTCAACGTCCATTTTAATGAATTTTAAATCAGAATGTTTAAAAGTATTTCGTTTGATTATTAAATCCAAGCTTTCTAAATAATTTAAGCATTCAAATTTCATTTTTGACCAATCTAAATTCCAATTGAAGTTTCCATAGCGAGGTACTTTTATAACTGAAATTAGATCATCTTTCATGATTGGTGATAGTGGCTCTGGCAATTTATCTAGCTCAGAAATTATCTTAGTATAACTATCATATTCAACATAATCAGCCATAAATTTTTCTATTATTTCTGGTTTATAATGAGTATTGGTTTCAGGTACAGGTTCTTCAATCTTTATACCATCTTTATTAGAATTAAGAGTTTTACGGTATTTTATTGGTTTAACACGAGGTTTATCGTCATAAAAAACTTCAGAATCAAAATCCATTGGAACTTCTGAAACTTTTCCACTCTTAGAAGCTAAATTTTCTATTCTGGTCAAAAGATCACTTGAAGGCAATAAAGTATATGCAGATAAAATACATTCTCTGCATACAATCACTAAATCTTCTAGAAGATTGGCCAATTTTAAATAACCTTGGACTAGCTTCTGTATTGATTTAAGGGATCCATCTGAATCATTCAACTGTTTGCAACGTTCTTTTTCATTTATATTCTTGTTTATTGCAAGGATATACATTTCCAAGTACAAAGTTCGAGACAATTTAGAACCAAACTGTAAACAGAAAATATAGTAACATTAAATTTATGTTTATTATAATTTGATATAATATCAATACTGTTATTACAAATAAAATTAATAAAACAATCACATTCAACAAAAAACATGATTAAGGTTAGTTTCATCCTAATTAAAACAATGCTGTGAATGCATTAAAGCAATAACTGTTTATTAAATCAAATAAATTTATTTTTTCTTGATATTCAGTACTAAAAAACAGTGAAGCTAATGATTTTTAATATTTAAAATTAAATTATTGGATTATGTTTTAAAAGTTTTTGCTTACTTCATTATAAATAATATCAATTAACCAATATAAATGATCGGTTGTAGATGCAATTTTAACAAATCTTTGGATCATATTTTTAATACGAGAATACATATCAGATTTCAAGTCAGATTCCATCAATGTTTTCATCAAGACACTCCATTGCTTCGTTATCCAACAGAACTCTTTAATATATCTAGGTTTTTTGAGAGAGGTAGAAACCAAAATGCAAGCAGCCATTTCACAAACTTCTACCATATCTTTCCAGATTCTTGGTCGACTTTCTTTTTTTTGATTTGAAAAACTCTGAATTTTATCACAATACCTTTTTATTAAAAGCTGCCCATCATCTTTTGGAGTAAACCTGAGTAACTAAAAATTAAATTAAATAAGTATATATTTAAAATTTAGTAAATACAATTGCCTGTTATTTAATACAAAAAACAATTTACATGATCAACAAGTTCTTTTTTTCTATTTGCCCTTTCAAGGCATGCATAATAAATATCTCTGATGAAGAGAAAATCTTCTTCTTCAATATGGTATCTACTTTTTAATTCAAAATTTATCAAACGCATTGCCATACAGGATAATCTTAAAGCTTGAGCGTCACACTTTTCCTCACAAAGTATTTTTAAGCGCAGAGCAAATATGTTACTCTTTTCAAACTGGATAAAGTTGGCAACTAAAAACATAAAAAATTAATTTTTTTTTTTAGAAAGCCTTTTAAAATGTATTTAAAAATATTTCAATATTACCTTCTTCTTCACATGGATCTCCATAAAGTAATTTTGGCAAATAATGATGATCCCATGGGTTTTGTATAATAGAAAGCATAAAATGACAAGATTTTATTGATTCTAGGTGAACTTTCATCAGATGTAAGCTAGCTAACATTCTTTTGAAAATCGAAGAAAGTTCAATTTTATGTTTTTTTGGAATATTTTCCCAATCGGGATGTAAAACGAGAATAGCAGATTCACTAAAAAAATAAAACAAAATTAATAACATTGTTAATCATATATTACAATTTAGTTTCTTATAAAGTAATAAATACACGAATACATTATTTTGATGGGTTATAAATTGATATTAATAAATAATTTATGTTAAAAATCAAAATATATTAAAATTAAATAAATTACATATAAATGTATCATAGTACAATAATTTGTACTTTTAAATATCAAAACTCAAAAAAATAGTAAATTATTAAATACTTATTTTTTATCTAATATATACCACAAGATAAGCTTTAATACAACTAATAAACTGAAATTCATAAATAAGAATTAGTTTAAATATAGTTTTATAAATACTGTAAAACTGGAAGACTGAGATGGTTCGGGCATGTGATGGACTAAAGAAAACAAATTCAGTAATAGTTGTTATGAAAATAAACATTGAAGGGAATAGAGGATGATGAAGACTAAAAAAGAGATGAATAGATACGATTGAGAATAATAAGAGGGCCATTGATATGTGCATAGGGGATATAGAAAATCAAGTTGAATGGAGGTTTAAGACAAGGGTGACCAACCTTATATAGTTGGGAAAAAGGTGAAAGAGAAGATGTACTGTAAAACATTTTAAAGTACAGTTCCAAACTATGTACACATTCCTGGAAAAATATATTTAAATGTACTTAGTATGTATAATATGCACTCTACTTATTAGTAGGGTGCAGATTTCAATGCAAAAATACATTTTTATTTCTAAATCCTTATACAATACTCAATTTAGCAAAAAAAAAAAAAATGTTTTAAATGGTGTAGATTCATATAATTAAATTTTTATTTTCCATTTTTTTGTTATATTTACTTCTTTAATGCATTTATGGTATTATCACTACAAATAAGGACAATATTTTCATATTTTTTGTTTAAAAATTTAACATTTTTGGAAAATATTAAAAAAATTTCAAGTATTCAATATTTTTCTTTAATCAAATTAATGACTACTACATATTATCATCTTATGTTATCGTTATGTCATTACAATTTGGTATAATAAGCGATAACGATAACAATAATACGAACTACGTGTGTGGAAAGCATTGATCGAATAAAATAAAAAATTTTGAGTGCATTTTTAGTAGTTATTTCTCACATTTTGAATACATTTTTTTACGTCATTAATTAAACTATTTAAATTTTTAATACATTTTTTTACATCATTAATAACATTTTTTAGAGTATTAATCCCTAATAATAAGTATTATATACTATTTACAAAATGTATTAAACATCACATTTAGTATTTAAAATATAGGCTTTAATATATATCACAAAATATAAATACAATTTATTAACTACTCAAAAGTAAAATATACGTAAAATATATTACCCAATAGCATAATGCAAAAATACATGTGTTCCAGCGCAAGGGTCATCAGAAAGTATACTACTACAGTTTTCCCAAGTCTTTATTAAATTTAGTACTTTAGTTTCAAAAGTTGTACACAGATCTCTTGTCACATTCTCAAACTTCTAAATTATAAAATTTTAAAAACATGTTATTAGTTTGATAAAATATACAGAATAAACTTATTATTTTATACTACATAAACTCTATAATTTTCATAATCAATACATTAACATTTACCATTATTATAATATTAAAAAGAAAACATTTACCTTTATTAAAATATTAAGAAATTGTTTATGATTACACTAGAAGTTTAACAATATTGTAAGGTTTGATTGAGGATTTCTATACAGAGCATTTTTACCTAGTAAACAAGTTCTCAAAAAGCTTTTTCTTGAATTAAGATTAAATGTATTTTTATACAGGTATCAAAAAAATATAAATCAATTCCGAAATTGAAGAATATTTAGATAGAAAATAAACTAACTTACATAAATTTAAATAAATACCTAATTCTATAATAACAATATAATTAATATAAAATTGTAAGTATGTTCTAAAAAGTTATTCAAGGAAATATTTAAAAAAAATAGTTAATAATACTAAAACCTTCACCAAATAAATAAATTTAATATAATTCACTTCTTTAGTATCATTTTTCCAGACCAATTAAAAATTATAACACTATTGACATTATTTTGATCAAAAATATCATTAATTTGTTTAATATTTAATAATATGATTATTGAAATTAGTTATTAATTATTGATTACATAGGTATTAATGAAAAGATGATAAAATATTAAAATTTTAAATAGTGCAAAGATTTACAAACTATACTTATTGATACATAGATATACAATCAATACAGATAGTTATCTTTTGGTATGTTGAAGTGATAAGAAAAAAATTATTAATTTCAAGTACAAACAGTAAAGTTAGTAAATTATCTACATTATAATTTTGAGATTGTTCATTCATCTCTTTCCTAGTTTTTTAACCTAATATGAATGTTTTTATCAGAAAACTATTTAAGAACTCATTATTTAATAAGTAAATTTGAATCATAAAAAATTATTTATATACATAAAAAAAAAAAAGATATTTAAAATGCAATATCTAATATAGAAATCATAGAAAATTATATAACTTAAATTAACCAATACAAAACCCTCCATGATAACATATTACTTAATTCTGACTTATGTGAAGATAGTTAAGATGATAAAATAGAAGAATAAAAATAAAACGAGGATTATATATACATATATACTTATATTATAAATATAAAAGAACTATTATTCCTCTCAAAATAGTGAGTATAACAATCAATTGAGAAACAACATAAATTAAAATAATTCAGTTTAGAACAAATTCGGTTCTATCAAATAATAATATCTGTTGAAAATTCAATATATAAAAATAAAATGTAATGTACTACTAACCTTAAGTCCTCTAAAATAAAATGGTGCAAGATATGGCATGGGGGTTTTCCTTGGATATATAATACAATCAATCGATTTATGATTTTCATACATAGCAATCTGTGAATATAAATAAATATTTGATTAATAATTATTTATCAATAATTATATTACTACAATAATACATATTTGATAAAAATACCTATTAAAAATAAGTATTTAGTATATCAAATTGCACTCAATTTTATTTTATCAGAAGTGTTCCCGAGTGGGTAAACTTAAGTAGTTACAAATTAAACACACTGAAAAACATTCCTGATTACCTTAATTATTTTATAATATAAGCATACAGGGATGAAAATATTAATTATTATAATTATTCAAAATGCAAATAAAATATAAAAGCAATAAATCAAAAAATTGGTAGGTATCTATATCTCAGTCAGCTCAGTCTATATTAAAATGTATAATCAATAAGTACTAAGAAATCTAAATTTCATCCAAATAAATCAAAAGTGATAATATTAGTTATCATTCTGACATTTAATTAAAAAAAAAAAAAAAAATCAAGATATAAAATTGTATAGTTATAAGACATAAAATAAAGAACTATCTACATAAAATGATTTAAAAATACTGTAGAGTAAAATACTGCTTTCATAACTTTTATACAATTTAATATAATGTATTTTATTAACTATAAGCATATAAGTATAAAGCAACATATAGCAAATAATTTGAAAAACATTTAATATATTTGAATAATAAAATGTTATTGGGAATAGATAAACATTGTCAATTACGACATTGGAATCAAATATTGATGTTACTAAATTAATTTTTTTTTTTACAAAATTGAATAGGTATTTACATGTAGTTAAATTTGTTCTTTTATTTAAAATAATGTGTTGGTAAATTATATATACTGATTTAAACATAGATTAATAGATGTTTTAAAAAATTAATAAAAAAATATTTAAAAACATAATATAACTTCATATTGCAAAATATTAATTCATTGTTAAATATTTCAATAAAGAAAATAAAATCCGTGAATTTTTAAATTATACATAGTGTGTATAAGATAAAAGTAATTTTTAATTATATTATTTTAATAAAAGAAAACATAAAAACAATCACAATGTATTATAATATTTGGCATTCATGTACAATACTACATATTAATAATAGGTTTTAAAAGAAATTATGAACTATTATAAGATATTAAGGAGTTTCATAACCAATGTATGTTATATCCTTGTCTTTCATATTATGTGAGGCTATCAATTATTTGTCAATTAGTAAAATTAATGAATAAAAATAAGGATCCAGAAAATATAATCATTATGTACATGAAATCTACTTGAGAACATTTAGGTCGATTTTAGATTAATATTAAAATTTTATTTCAAAAAATTATATAATACTCAAAATTATTTTTTAATATTAAAATATAATTTTTAGAAAATTAGCATTTTAAATATAGTAATGCGACTCATCAATTGTATATAAAGGATCTTCTTCACTGATTCAATGCATCAATCATAGTTATGAACAAAAAAATAGACAGTATGTACAGTAAAACCTCGATAAGATGGAACCTATTGGAACCATGACATGTTTCCGTGTTAACGGGGTTTCCGTCTTGACGGGGTAAGTTAATTATGTAATTTGAAATGAAACTAAAAAAATGTTCCATAATACCGGGGTTTTCGTCTTATTGAAGTTCCATCTTATCGAGGTTTTTCTGTACTATGTTGCATATATCACTTTTCAAATAAAAAAATAAAACATATCAGTTTGAAATTTCTTTGAGTAAGTTAACCAATAAATTATTCTTATTGATTGTTGAAAAGATAATTATAACTCATTATATTAGTTATTCAGTGCAAGTATAGAAAAATTCATTATAAGTTAAACTTTAAATATTGATGTTGACCATAATATACACATTTGAAAAACCATTGTAGTATAAAGCAGTGGTTCCCAACTGTTTTGACATTACGGATAACTTAGAGAACTTTTGATGAGTCATAAACCACCTCAATTGTAGACCATATCTTTCTAATAAACAAGAATCAATTTTTTTTATACATTTTAGAATTTGGATTATGAATAAATAAAAAAAAATGCAATTCCTTATAAGAGGCTTATAATAATGGTTATAATTGAACAATTTTAAGTAAAAGTTTAAAATGATTAACAATTTAACAAAAATTATTCTAATAAAACAAATGTACATCATATTAATTAATTTATTAATAAGTAAATTGCAATCATAAAAACAATTTATTGTGATTCTTGAGTTGCATTACTTTAACTATCAAAAATTCATGGGGAAATACTACTCAAAGTTACATGTACATCTTTAAAAACTAAACAATTTCTTTGTTTATTTTTAATTTAAAGCAATCTGAAAATTTAATAAATGTACATCAGATATATCATCTTTTTTTTTTTCAGAGTAATTTTATATAACTGACAAATTTTAATAAGAAAAATCCAAAAGAACACAAATCTCGACTACAGAACCATTAACAATAAAAATGCATTGATAATTAGATTTGTTCTCTATTATTCTATTGATAATATATGTGACAATATGATATGTATAATGTATAAAATATAAATAAATGACGTAATATACACAACTGTCAGTATTTATGTAACGTACCAAAGGAAAAATTTAATATTTTTAAATTTTGTAGGTATGGCTTGCGGACCATCAGTGATCCAGGGACTTGTAAACTAGTCAACAATAAAATGTCTGAGATCAATGAAATCGAAGCCTTGATTAGGGGACCTGAGGGAAAGCGATTGCCGTTAGGCAATGAATACATGTTGATGGGACGCTAGGGAACCGTAATACCGAGTAAGGATGCAATCAAGGGAGCACAATGCGGCACTTTGAACTTACCGTATGGATGTGGCCTAAATAGGCGCCGCCGCCGCACTTACAGGCCGGGTTGTAATAGTCGGACCCGAGCACTTCCTTCGATTCAGGGACCCACGCGGTGGGCTCGATCTGGTCCGATCCGTCCGACTCGCACAACGTTATCACCTCATCGTCGGACGATTCCAACGTGGTGCACGGAGGGTGAAACTCGTCATCGGACGATTCCAACGAGGTGCTCGGAGGTTGGGACTTATCGTTGGACATGGGTGACATGTTGAACGAACGGCAGTGGCGACCGCGTCCGACGGAATCTTGAAGGCGCAACGATAACGTGCGTTACACAGGTGTCGTATGCGGGGTACCGTCCGGAGGGGGCGCGATGTCGGACGTCGAACGATACGGCCGCAGCTACGGCATCTCTCCGCACGCACGGGGGGCTCAGCGACAACGTCGACTGGGTGCCGGTGGGTAACGGTATACGACGAAGGAAACGCGACAACGGCGACCGAGACACGAGTAGCAATGGCGAAGGAACGAAGGCGCGTGCGGCTGCGGCTGTACCGACGAAGACGAGAGCAACGAAACGCGGTTCAGCGCATGGTAACGATTGTTACTACTGAACGGCAATAACAATGTAACCGCTGTCGCGCGTGTCGGCGTTACATGCGTACAGCATAATATTAATTTACAGTATTATTATTATTAAAATCGTGGAAAACAAAACCAATGCGATTGAAGATAACGTCGTGTATATATGTACAGGTTACAATATCACTTTTGTGTGTGAGTGCCGTGCGTGAGCGCGTGCGGGTGAGCTGGTGTGTGCGTGCGGAAACGGCTCGACCGTGTGCGTCTGTGTGCGTGCGAGTGCATGCGTGCGCGCGTGTGTGAGTGTGTGCGGGTGCGCGTGTTCGTGCGTGCGTATCAACGAGAGAGTGGGCTGGGAGAGGGCGACCAAGAAAATCTAGGAGAAAAAAAGTAATAATAATAATAATAATAAAACAACTTCTGTACAATCATCGGAAAGGAAGTGCACGATAAGTGGATGGCTTGCAGTACAGACCACATAGGCGGTGGTGAAAACAGTGTAGCCGGCGGCTGCGGGACGGACGGACGCTACGCCGCTACCGGTGCCCACGGTACAGCCAACCCTCGGCTGTTGCGGGGGTGCGTTTTACGGGCGGTCGCCGTGCTCGGTCTCGTCGTCTCAGCCGTCGGCGGCGGACGCCCTGCCGGTGCACGGAGGCCACCACCGCTCGCCCGTGGAGGTAACGAAGCCGTTATCGGTGTCACGACGACCGTCCCGTTGATAAGAAACGCTTGGCGATATATTTTTTTTCCCATCATTGTTAATTCGTTTTATTAGCGGCAACGCCCGCGCTGGGATAGTAATCGGTTTCGTTCCGCGATCTTTTGCCGTGAATTACCGGTGCACTTGCGTTGAGCATTTCTACGCTTCCAGTCTCAACGCGCATTGTTTGCGGTGTGCACCAACGTATTTTACGTATTACGTTCACGTAGTAACAATGAACAGTAATAGCGACACACGAAACGATGTGATACGTTTGTAATATTATCGCCAAAACTGTAACATAACATTACAATAGTACGTAATCTCGAATGTTGACAGTTGTAAACGAACGGCGTTTGATCGAACCGTTCGATCTCTATAAACGTCATAACACTCATTACGGTACGGGACGGTGGGACCCAGGTTTGAAGTATTTTGGGACGGATGTTGAGAAGATGGCCAAAGAAAAGACGAAAGGAGAACCGTTACGACCTATGCAAAAAACAAAGTTCGAATACGTGGGCCACGGGTTCCCACAGCAATCCGTTTAACGTAACATAACGCGTTTGCGCCGCCGAACAGTTTATCGGCGTCGACGGTACACGTTCGCACACGGTGTTTGATTGCGATTCAAATATTCATGTATGATTATTATTTTTGTCGTCATTATTATTGTTTTTAAATAGGTACGGCCCGTTATGGTCGTCATTGTCATCGTTACGATGACGGCGGCACGCGCTTTCGTCCATTAGACGTGTTGCGCAAACATGGTCCGTAGCGAAAGGTGGAAGGGAGGTGCAAAGGTATTGTCTTGTCCTTTCTACCGTAAGTTATAATAAACATTTTTAACGCGATAGATATATCAAATCCGCGACCACTTGAAATGTTGAATACGTCGATTCCGGTGATAACATAATAATAATAATAATAATAATAATATATAATTATTATTTTCAGGTGCCAAAGAAATGTAAAGTAAGTAGTGGAACCGGACAATGGACTACAAATGTATATGCAGTGCTTTTACAACCATGCCGATTTAAAAATATACTGTTTTGTACAGACTTAACGGTGTTAAAATCTGTTGGAATTCGGTACGCGCTGCAATATAATAATACATTATTAACCGGCACGAGAACGAGGTAGCGTGTTCGGGTCGTATGTATTATGGTCATAGGCGCAACTAGGGGGGCTAGCCCTTAGGCCCCTAGTCCCTCCCTCCCCATAAATATTCCATGTTATGCATGGCATACTCCAACTTGGCTCAGAATCTAAAATATATTAACATGGTATATAAGAGTAGGGGTAATCTACAGGTTATTTGAAGTTTTGGTATGAGGGCTGTAGCCCCCCTCCCCCAGATTTTTTATCCTAGTTGGACCTATGATTGTGCCAAAGAAACGTGTCACGATTGCGGCTAAGGAAATATTTCGGTAGTGCGGGGAAACTGTGAACCATAACTGATGGTGCACGGCAAAATCATCGACAAACTGATTTACCTTCTCTCCCACTCATTGTCACATACATTCCTCGTAATCCTAAACTGTTTTTGAGTAACGTTTATTCAAAAGAACCGAGCATAGCCATCCCATCTAACCTAACTAGGAGCGTCGGGTTTGAATGGTTCGTGTACTTAAAAAATGTCTCCAATCTACCTTTCGGAAAGCGTCATAATTAGTGCATGACAGAATAATACCTGTGTAGTAGGTACATTTAATTTATTCGATCACATTGTTATTGAAATAAATATTTCTAATTAATATTTCACATTTTTCGAATTTATTGCCGGTTTTCTCATTAAATCTATTAAGGTACCGAGTTAAATGGCCCAAACGAAATAGCGTAAATTATGTTTTTACATTATGCGTTTTATTTACAATTTTACTATACTTGTGTTCAGTTATTTTTATTTTTTTGTTGATTTTTATTAATTATTTTCTTTTTTTTTTATTAAATAATTTATAATCGATCATATATATTACCTATAATGCAAAAATTTTAATAATTAATAATGTTTTAGAATTTTGAATTCATGTAGGAGTATTTTAATCCTAGTACCTACATTAAAATATTTAATGATATATTTTATAGCTTGCTGTAACTAAAGATTTTTTCTAAGTAGGTTTTAAATTTTAAAATGTCAAAACTATATTATTATTATTATTATTAAACATTCACTAGTGATTAACGACTTGTCCACAATTCGCATAATTTATTAGGCATTATAAATAACAAACTTTAAAGTATGAATAATTTAAGTACGAAATTATTAACAATTGTCTACTTATATAAACTATATTTCATATCTATGTGTGTAGGAGGTATAGTTTTTATTTCTGATTAAATGCATTTACATATTATACGTGTACAAGTACCTACCATTAATTAATTAATTCATAAATAAAATATCACTGTATTTTTAAAGAACAACAATGATCAAATATTTTTGTATAATTAATATAAACTCTACATACCTATTTATATAATATAATCCAATCTCATATAATTATGTGATACATTTTGACGGCTGAAAATGGGTGATAAATGTCTTATATTAATATATTATCGATAATATTACTATTTACAGTAGCTTAAAACGACAACAGGAAGTTGTAGCTAGTAAACATGATATTTATTATCACTAATTACCATTATCTAGTCTTATATATTATGAGACTTCAAAATCAATCCTTTAATACAAATCATAATATTAAACATAGTATTAGTATATATATATATATATATATATATCTTTTATCATAGTATATATCTTTTATAACTATACATTGATTTACATAATATATTACAATATTAAACAATAAGTGTTTACGTTATTGGTATTATCGATAAGAAAGGCATAGTTGAAGACGAAGAACACTCCCTTAAAAATACTTTGACATCAATAGTATACTTATCTTATAGAATAATAATTAAAATATATTATAGGATTATATGAATTCGTTGTGATTAATCGAAAAGTTAGGCTATTCTTGGTACGAAAAGTTGTTGGATTAGAATTTTTTAACAATTAAACTAAACTTTGTTAAATTAATTAACAAAGAGTAGAATGGTGGTCATACGTTTTAATAGATCAGGGGCGCTAGAATCCTGAATACGAACTCAGGACTGCAGTTTATTGTTTACGCTAACACGTCACTAGGTTATCATTTTGGATTTACGTACAGTGACACTTGAATTCATAATCTCGTAATTGCAGCACTGCAGACTGATATAATAGTGATGAATTACAATAGGTACCATAATGGACCATCGAGATCCACGACGATTTGTATGATGCAGTCACGATTGTTTATAAAAATTATAAACATGTTGGTACGGTGTGCATTTTAACAGTATTATTGTTCTTGGAAAGAAATAATACTGTTTACGCGTTCAAAACTCGACCGCCGTCGTCATAACAGCTGCAGGCTTCAGTACCGAAATACACGGTAATTATGCATACATGATGCACAACATACGTACGCGTGTAGTTAATATTTAAGCTGTAAACACACACGTATTAAGCTGAATCCATCATGGTTAGCCGTACAGTTGTACCTGTTGTAATATTGAAACGTGTATAATCCCGAGGAATCGTACGGCGGCATGCTTGCTAAAATGTCCAACCGTTCTGAATTCGAGATAGTATCGTACAATAAAGATGCAATGGAATGTTAATGAAAAATACACCTATACAAGTTTCACGGTTACATATGTCCGTTTTCCGAACGTGATTCCAAGAAATTTAAAGACGAAAAGGTAATACGCGTAATACGCTTCCGGCTATTCAGAACACCCTCTCGGCCTCTTATATATAATATTATTATTATAAACCAATTAACCGTTGTATGGTCGTTTTATTGAATCAAATGGAATCACTACCTACCATCTCTTTCGCTCCCTTGTTAAGTGTTATTATTAGGGTTCGGAAGCTTTAGGAATTGCATATTGTTCTGTGTGCTCTCGATTTATAGCAGACCAAGCTAGACATCTGAGCTATACAACGTTGAGTTGAAAAATTGAAAATTAAAAATGCATATTTTGCATATTTCGTTAATTTTAGAGATAAAATGTATATTTCGTCGATTTTCATTGATTTTCGCATATTTGTATGCATATTTAATATTTTCTAAAAAAATTAATTTTGTTCATTCATAACCAATTTATTTTAAATAATGTTACATAACATAACGCTAATAACGTGGAAAATGTCCATCATATAAAATTCAATATTATTTTTCGTGGTTATTTATTGTTATTTTTTTAAGTCTACTATGAATTTAACGAAAATATTAATGGTTCGACGCAACAGGTATTATACAACATACGAGTATATTTATTAAGTATTTCACAAATAATGAAAATATATTTGTTTTACTATTTTTTCAGTTCAATAAAATGTCAAATGCCAACTGATTATGCGTCATATTTTAGTTTTCAACAATACAATTTTTTTAAATATAGGTTTTTAGAATTTACTAATTAATTTTTAATAAATAAATAAATAAATATTTTATTTGCATATTTTTTGCCTTTTTATGCTCCTGTAACTTCCCAACCCTAATTATTATTATTTTTATTTATTTTTGAAAAATATTTTTTTGGTCGATGTCATTTTTCTCTTTTACTGATTCAACTAATCGTTATAAATATTAATACGAGTAGGTATACGAGTACGATTTACTGTCTGAATCATTGCATTGGCATCAAATTATAACGGTACACAAATAATATTCATAATTTCTAATCCTATACTCATATA